AGCCAAGCAAAGGCCCTGGGTGGGACTCGGGCAGGAGCTGTCCTCTGAGCTATTCAGTGTCTTCTGGGAGTGCCTTGCTGAAAATACGGTCTTACCAGAGAGAGGCAGCATGTCAAACTGCTGATCATTCATTTAACACCACTGTAGAATTATTAAAAGGGCTCGGGATGTGTAGTGGGAAGTTCCGGTTGGAGCGGACCAACGCGAGTAGTAAGACAAGACAGCGCTCTGGACCCCAGCTACTTTGCCTGTAAAATTGGAAAAACCAATTCTCGCCCCAGATGCCTTAGAGTATGACCATGAGATGAGGAGGTGAAGTGATTTGTTCACTTGAAAGCTAGAAAAGCAATGTGTTTAACTTTAGTGAAAGTTCACCCACGTCCTAACGCAGCGAGCCTCCTTGCAGCCTCCCTGCAGCCTCTGTGGGGCAGGCGGGGCAGGAGCTGAGGAGCAGGAGCTGTGGCTGTGGCTGCATCCCAAGGCATGCGCAGCTTGCATCTGTAACCTCTGTTCTGCTGCCCTGGGCACCTCCTGTCCCTTTACTCGCTTCCTACACAGTCTCCTCCAGGCTCTACTCCGGCCCCGCCCACTCCAGCCTCACTATTCCTGTTGTGCGCTCACGTTACATGTTCGCTAAATGAATGAAGAAATGTGGCAGGGTGGCTTATTAAAGAAGGCTCATTTTCAGAATTTCAGAACGCAATCCTAATAAACGTATGAGTATAGGCCCGTATGTGCTGTGTCCTACACACCTACCCTAAGATTTGCAAAACTGTCCCGGTGTACCCTTTCTGCACAGCTTCTACTCTGAGAGTTTCTGTTCTGTCCTGTATCTTTTATTTATAAAGAAAATAAGAGTTGCAAGAGAATTGATTTTGCTACCCTAACTAATGTATCATGACCTGCAATTTAAAAACACGGTTACAGAATAATCTGGCAGAGAGAAACCTTGTTCTTTGCAATTGGGTGAGCTACTTGAAGGATCTGCGAGCTCAGCCCAGATTCTCAATGCTGATTCTGAGAGGCTGAGAAAATAAGAGGCAAGGGGACCTGGCAGCTAAGCATTATGGTGACTGGAAGGCTGGCCCATTTAATGTGTGTTTCGTTTATTGTGGCCTCAGTGAGGATGTCACAATCTAATGAAGGCTTAGAAGTTTAGGCAGTTGTTGTTTGGGACAGGTTTGAATTTAGTCACATATGTCATTGAAACTGTCCTGAGATCTGCAGGGGTCACCTTCAAAGAAATGCCAAAATCCTGGGTTGCAAGTGTACTGCAGGTGCAGGAGCCCTTAGAGTCTGGAGAGAGTGTGAGGACACTGACCATTAGGAGCCCTCCCCTGTCCTGTTGGCTTTTCTTGGGCTCCTACATGGCTGTCCACACCCTGGGGTGCAGGTCGAGAGCATCCTCACACCAGCACAGGTAGCTAACCAGATGGGAAAACAGGTTCAAGGTTGAGACAACAGGAAATGAAATTACGTTATCCAGGGGATAAGTTTTTTCTTTCTGAAATCTTGGCCATTTATCCCTTTGTGGCCAGTGACCAACTCAAAGAACAACCCAGGAGATGTTTGTTGGGTGAATCCTTGCATCCAGTCATAGCTTGCAGAGTTCTCTTATTACATTCAAACAATTTTGAGAAACTCTAGTTTTTCTCTGAGCCCCTTTCAGTTTTATCCTGTCTCATAAGTAGATAATTTGTTTTTTCCTGAAAGTCATTCCTCACAGAAGCACATGTGCGTTGTGATACTTCTTTTTGATTTTCCTTCGGGGTTTGCAACTGAGGAAGAGGAAGCAAGTCCATTAGTTTTAGAAAAAGTTGAGTGTGTAAATAAATCTCTTATTACTGATTTGCTGTAGGTACAGGAAAGTAGCAACATGGAAAATTTCTCTTGTTTGACTTCCGTGTATCAGCTAGATATAGTAACCAATGCCATGAATATTCTTATTTTGGGGAATATGTGTCAAGAATCAGGGTTCCTCAGGCTTGGCTTTATAAAGATCTGAGTTCAAACTCTGGTTCTCCCAATCCTTTGGCACATTATATAAGTGCTTTCTGTCTAGCCTTACCTCATTTATAAATATTGATTGTAATGACTAACATCATAGTGTTGTAAGTATTGAAGGAGGTCATATATGCAAAGCAGTTGATGTGAAACTTTGCCTTTTATGGGTAATAGTAATAAACTGTGATAACAATAACCCTCTCTTTTGTTAGAATAATATCACACAAGCATTAGCCAGGGACAAGTGTGATCTGTACCAGTCCTACCACTCACATTGTTCATATGAATGTATTTGTCAGCAGGGACCAACTTATGCATCAGTAACAAACAACCCTCAAATCTCAGCACTTTAGCATCATAGTCATTTATTTGTGGACTATCCAGCCTTCTCTGTGGATCCAAATAACTGTCTGGGGTGGTCATCTCTTCTCTTAGCTCTGTACTCAGTTACACTTCAGGATATGTTATGAATGGGGTTTTAGTCTAAGGTTTGTCCTGCTGATAAATAACTGACATGGGATACAAGTTTTGACAGTCTGTGCTATAGGCCACAGAACGAAGAAGAGAACAGAGTCCAGCATGGTTGCTAAAGATCACCCTTTTCTTGGTGCAACTCCAGCTTGATATTCTAGACCAGTGATGGTGACCCAAGGGCATGCATGCCACAACCAGCTGTTTATCATCAAAAGCTCCAGAAGGTTCTGCCTTTGTGTTCTTACCTTTTGATGGTACTTATAACTGTCCCACCCTCAGATAATGGAGCTCTGCTCTTCATGGTGGGGTCAATGGGGCTTAGAAGTCCCTGGACATGTTTTCTGCCAGGTCCCATAGACCCAGGAGCAAGGTTTTCTGTCACCCCCATCACCCGGCTTCCAAATCCTATCTCAGATGTGCCCTAGGAGGAAATCCTAGCAGAAAGATGGCCACAGGATCAGATTGTTAGTCAAGGCTGGAGAGTTCAACTTGGCACTTTGCCAGTAGGAAGTGGCCCTTGCCTGTCCCTCCACTAGACCAGATGTTCCATCTATGCTTCCCCACTGCGATGGACATCTCCTACAATTGCAATTTTTCTTCCCTAAAGTCAAAGTTAGGCTGTGTCTTCAGGTCCTCAAGTTTGAATCTGATAAATCAAGGAACAAAGGTGGTTGTCTGTGTGGCACCAATCCTGGCAGTACTGACAACCGAGGCTGCTGATTGCTGCAAAAGGACAGGAGGCACAAGGGCAGATCTGTTAAATTGTGTGTAAATGGTCTGTTTCCTGTGAAATCTCAATACATCCCCGAGGACATTACAGTCAGGTTCAGAGCCACTCACTTCTGATTTTTACTTGTTCAGGACTTTACTCCTGAGAAACCACTGCAGCAACAAAACCATTTCGCTTCCACGAAGACAATGTCAAAGTCTCAAAACCCAGGATGTTTTAAGGCAGGATTCCAACCTCATTACTGCCAGGAATAAAATTCATCCAAGGTGAAGCGTCCTCTCTTAGAACTCAAATCCGTCTCAGAATGGCTTTTCTTTCCCCTTTGTTTTTGAAGCTAAGCAATTACTTTTTTTTTTTTTTTAGAAAAAAAATTGTGCTAATGCACAAAACTCTTTTTTTCCCTTTCATTTATTTGAAATTGAATTTAAAAAGTCAGTTCTGACGAGCACTATATATGAGTAATGCTTTTTGTCCCTAAAAGCCCATTGACTCGAATGGTATGGGAGTGCTGATTCTTCGTCTGCTTTGTGGGAGCGCCCATAATGACAAAGTACTCGTGTCACAGTGTATAATGAAACTATAAATTGTTTTCATGAATGCTCTGAATTTGGTCTTTTACGGGGCAAATTCAAAAGGTATTTAGTGCCACATTTCACATATGTGAATAACACCAGCTGGTGCAGTATATCCAATAACGGTAGAGAGTCCTCGCTGGACTCGCCCTGGCCAGTGTGGTGGGTGCCTGTTACACCCGGCTATTTCAGGGTGTAGGCAATGGGCAAAAGAATTGAAAAAGAGCAGAAAGGATGAAGCAATCCCATCACTGGGAAGCAAGAGTCCCAGCATGCAGCACTGTTGTTTGGGGACAACTGTGGCTAGAACACTTGGCTCCTGGCCAGTGGGTGCTTGCCTCGGAGTTGCAGAAGAAGTCGTCCAGATCAGGCCCATGCTAGCAAGCAGATCTGCAAGTGGGAGAGCATGTCCTGGGTTGTGTGGGCTGGGACATTCTAGCTCTGTGAGTTATGCTTCAATTAAACTATTTAAATTACATTTTTGGAGTGTGTTTTATTATAGAAGCCATATGGGTTTATCCCTGAAAAATTAGAAAATACAGGAAAACAAAGCAAAATGTAAAAATGTAAAAACTTGGGATTTTAAACTGGGAGTGGTGACTCACTCCTGTAATCCCAGAACTCAGGAGGCTGAGGCAGGAAGACTGCAAGTTCAAGACCAGGTGGGGCTGCACAGTGAGTTCCAGGCTGGCTTGAAATACTAGTTACACCTTGTCTCAAACAACAACAAAAACAACAACAGCAGCAACAGCAGCAGAAAATTAAAAACAAAACCTTGGGCAACTAATTTAACATCAAGAGATCATTATTTGCAATAGTTTTACAAAGTTCTTATGAAAAATCTTTATGTATATCACTTTGTAAAATTTTGATAAAATTTTGCATAATCTGATCTGAATAATCAACAGTCTTTTAAAATAAATCTGGGGTTCAAGTATCTGTTCGCTTATGTAATTTTTACGAATATGCTGCTTTTTAAGTTATTGCCAATGAGACCGTGCTGTCTGCCCAGTCTGTGGAAGTTCCTGGATATTTGGGTTCTGTCCCGAGGGCCCGCATCAGGCACTGCAGTAGCCCTTATGCACCCTTACGCGCCTCACCGGAAGATGTCCTCGGGCATGGGATGCTCTAGCAATGAAAAGGGCGGCTGGGGCAGGGGCAGCGCGCTAAGCAGAGCCCCGCCGCCTCTCCTGAGTGGCGGCGCGTGTGTTTGCCCACAGTACCTGGTATGCAAGAGGAAGCTGGACAGCAAGAAGGAGGCGCTGCTCATCCTGTCCAAGGAGCTGGACACCTGCCAGCAGGAGCGGGACCAGTTCAAGCTCATGGCCAATCAACTGCGCGAACGCCACCAGTCCCTGAAGAAGAAGTACCGCGAACTGATAGTAAGTACAGCGATGTGGCGGGGCCTTGCCCACACGCACCCTTCGTGAAGGCCGGAGGAGGGGGATTCCTCAGCCCATTCCTTCAGAAACGGTTGCGTTCGTGTGGCACAAACATGGCAAAGTTAGGAAGCGAAGGTCCCTACCCCGTGCCCTCACAACCCAGCCCTGCCGCCGCTGGACCTGAGTGCGTGACTGTGCATCCGTGCGGCAGTTTCCTTACTGATGCATGACGTCGGCTTTTAGAAAATGAGTTTTAAAAAAGGACTGCTCATCTGCAATGTGCGCGAACACAGAGGCCCATGATATAGGGTATTTCCACCACTGCAGAGTGTTCGACTAGGCAGCACTGTGTGGCATTGTTTTAAAAGATGTTCTTTTGCTCATCACTGTATTAGGAAAGCTTTTTGGCCTCACAAATACAGACGATACATTCTGAGGCATCTGGTATCCCTAATTCTTATAACCTTTTCCTTGTGAGAGGCCTTTTGATTTTCCCTGTGTTTTCATACGCCAAGATATTTAAGGATTCAAATTACCTGAAGCAAAGGATATTAACAGCAAAGGTGCTCTTTTGCACCCCTGCCTGGTTCTGGGTGCATGCTCTTTTTCAAGTGCAAATGCTGTCGCCAGTTTTCACCATGGAGCCTGTGTTACTGAACTGCCCTGGAGTAGAAATAGACACGTTTTTTTGAGTTAATGTAGACTCATAGGTAGCATCTGTGCTTGGGTGTTTACCTAAGGAATTTGTATTCCTTTATGGCAGCAAAGAGAGATGTCAGCCTTAAAAGGTAAAAAGGCCAGCGGGACTGGAAGTTGTCCGTTAATTTTTTTTTTTTTTATTTTAAGCAAATTCTATCACTTGCCTCACTACTACACCCAAAGAGAAGATCAGTCACTGTTCCTTTGTTTCTATTTAAAAGAACTCAAGCTAAATAAAATATTAGGTCAGCTCATGATTTGCACAAAACTCATTTTGATAAACATAGGGTTTTTAAACTCACATAGTTTCAGAAAACATGTAAGGTTGGTCCTAAATCAAGCTGATTTGCTAGAAGGTTTTCTAGAAAATTCTAGTTCAGTTTATAGTTAATTTGTTTTAGAAGTGTAGCTGCACTTTGCTGTACTACTACTAGTTGCCCAGAGATGGGGCAGGTCTGAATTCAGGTTCCTGGTTTGTCTCAAATGCCAGAGTCTATGCAAATCAGATATTTTTAAAAAATAAAACGTAATTTTTGTTTTGTAGGATGGAGACCCATCACTTCCCCCAGAAAAGAGGAAACAGGTAAGACTCACTCCAGATCTTCGATAACTCTGGAGAACGCTTATTGCTGCTTCCTACAGCTGGAATCACTAAACAAATGGAGCAAATTTCTTTCTAGTTCCCAGAATCCTCTGTGTTTCTGGGAGGAGTGGGTGGCAGAGACTGTGAGGAAGGGTCCGGAACTGGGAACAGGAGCCCTGGAAAGCCTGCCAGGTACCAGAGGGCCCTTGGGTGGCTGGAGCCCCGTACTCACTGGGTGTTCCGGGGAAGCTGAGCGCACTGGCTTGGCGGGTGTGTGCTGCCCTGCCTTTAGATTCATGCACGACCCACTTGCGAAGCTCTTTCTGTCAACGCTCATAAGCCATTTGTTATTTCGCTAATAATACCAATAGTACTTACTGACTACTTTAATATATATATATATATATATATATATATATATATATGCATGCATCTATCTCTGGACTTCTGATCTGTTCTATGAAGCTTCCCATAGAGTTCTGTGGTTGAATCATGTTATTTTAATCCTGTGTGTGTGTGTGTGTGTGTGTTGTGGTATTGAGAATCAAAACCCAGGCCTAATATTGAGCTATATTCCTAGCCCTTTCCTTCTGTCCTCCTCCCTCCCTCTCTTTTGTTTCCTCCTCCCCTCCCTTCTTCTTCCCTCCCCTCCTCTTCTCTCTCTCCCTCCCACCCTCTCCCCATCCCTTTCTGTCTCCCTCCTTCCCTCCTTCCCAGGGTCTGGCTAAGTTGTGCAGGTGGCTTGGAACTAGAAATCCTCTTGCCTCAGCCCCCCTAGGAGCAGAGTGCCTGCAGCCCCAGTACACCTGGCCCTTTGCAGTACTTTTAATACCTGGTTGAATTAGTCTCTTTCCTTTTGCTCTTCTTTTTAGAAGTTTTTTGCTTGTTACTTTTTCCAGATAAAACTGAGAAACAGTTTACCAAGTCTTCCTCTGATCCTGCACACAAATCCTATTAGGATTTTGTTAAATTTGTTTCATTAGGTTGATAAAAGTGAGCATTTAAATGTCAGATGATGAACATGAGCATCTGAATCTGTTAAATTTGTTTTGACTTTTGATGCTCATGAACAGCGAATCTGTTCCTTGAAGGATGAATTGGGCCTCTCTCATATATATATATATATGAAAGTGTGCTCTTTTTCCAAAGGGGCCTTTGTAGGGCTTTCCATAGTTACACAGTTATTTTATATCTTGACATGCCCTGACTTACAGGTTTTTATATGCTGATGGGGAGCCCAGATGGAGCTTGTGCTAATGCTGGTTAATTCACAGGCCAAACTGAATGAGAACTGAGTTCAATTTCTCTGTGAGATCAGCATTGAGCCGAACCATTGAATCTGATTTGATTCACTACCAATTTGGTTAACAACCGTAATCATGGCAGGAATTAAGTTCATGAACCGAGTACCAATGTAGCAGCAAGGACAACAGGAGTTGTCTTTGTTCACAGCTGTAGTGCTCACCCAACATCCTGGGTTCCCGGATGATGTCCGTGGATATCTTGCACATTGGTAATGTGCTGCTCCACAGGTAATGCATGGGTTGGTTCCTTTGAGGCTTTTGGTGCTGGTGTGCAGTGTTCCTTACACACACGCACACACACACACACACACACACACACACAGAGGACTTGTATCTGTAAACACTGATTTGGTCCGATGATCACCCCTGCAGTTCTGGAAGGCTGCTTTCTTCCATATTTCTTCATGGTGCATGCGATTAGCTTATAATGTTCCACTTTTGATCTAAAGTCTAATTTTTCTATGGAGCTAATTGATGTTTTTTTCTAAACAAAATTACATGAAAATTTATCATTACTGTTTAAAAACTAAAATCCTTCCTCTTGAATTGCGGGGTGTTTTTGATGGTTATAAACAGTCATTTTTTGCTGCGATTTTAGAGTTTGTTAGTATTCATGAAGGAGTTTTACAGTTTTAAGTGAATTCACGTTCTGCGACTTTATAATAAAAAATTTACATCGACTGAGGAGAATCTGATGAATTCCACTAAGTCTGTCAGGCAGCATTCTTACAGTGCTGAAAGTATAAATGCAAGGGCCTCGACACTGGTGCTGTAGCTTCTAATGCAGCGTTTAGTTTCTGTCCCTTTAGGATTTAATACGGTGGAGGGAGCTGGGTCGGTGCGACTATCCTGCCTCAGTTGGAATTACTGACTTGCTGGATGATGTAGGATGCTTGGGGACACAGGTGACTGGAATGCAAAGCTGTATGAACAGTAAAGGGACCCGCTGTCTTGCATAGCCAGAGGTCTCGGCTAGTACAGGCTTAGGGGCTCTGTGGTCATTGGCTTCAGGAAGTTCTCATGTGCTTACACACTCCACTCTGTCACACTTAGCAAATAAAAACACAGGACAATCAGGTAAACTTGGACTTCAGAGCACCGGTGGATACTTCATTGCCATAAGAACATGACCTGTGCAATGTCGGGGGAATACATATGCTAAAATATTCTCCACTGTTCATCTGACTTCACATTCAACTGGGCATCCTGTGTTTTATCTGACAGTTCTACCCTTGTGCCAGCTATCGCGCCAGCTTCTTTTTGTGTTTACACCAGCCTCTGTCTATGGCTGACTCCTCTATAGTGGAGAGATCAAAACCCCAGCCCTCACTTAGGAGTTCTTTCCTCCAGCTGGTTGGCCAGAGTGGGACATATGTCCATTCCTAGTATAAGGACATTTAGAGGACAGTACTCATGCTGACTGCTCAGAATGGTCATCTTGGATGGAAGGGCTGTTAGGGGTCAGCAGTGACACCTCCTCAACTAACTATGTGGCCTTGAGCGATCTCTTCTGGGTGTCTAAGTGTCTGCTTTCTTGTCCACAAAATGGGAATAAACATGGTACCTTTGGCACAGAGAGGTCGTAAAGAATGGGTAAGGAGCGCTCTGGTTGTACTTGAAGCTCAAAGTAGCTTGGGGCATGGAGTGGATTTCTGGTTCCTAGGAGCACAGGGCTTGGTTAAGCTCCGCACAGAAGCATAACTATAGCCGGCCTCAGAGGCAGGCACAACCAGGGCTCACCTGCCCCCAGTCTCTGCTCTGCATTCTGCTCCTGCTCTGCTCATTAGCTCCTTTTAGGGATCCCACTTTGTCCTCAAATCACTGATGTGGTGGCCAACCCTCCTGGAGCCGTGCACCCTGCATAGCAGCCACTAGGAAAGGCTGGGGTGGCCGCCACAGCCACACTCAGGCCATGCCACCTCAGGGCCAGGAAGGCTTTGCTGGGCTTCCTCAGATACAGGTGGCTTCTGCTGTCACCTTGTGAAGGGATGCTGGGCAGACAGTGTCACAAACATCCATGTTAAACATTCTTGCTCAAGATGGGCCCAGAATGAGCAATACTACTGACCACAGCCAACTTCCTTTTCCTTTTTGTTTTTGATAATACTAGCAATTGAACCCAAGGCCTTTTCCGTGAGCTATAGCCTCAGCCATGTTTTTTTTTATTTTATTTTATTTTTTTTTCCATTTTAAGATATAGTCTAGAAGGGTCTTGCTAAGTTGTTAAATTGTCCAGGCTGGGCTCAAACTTACAATCAAGAGTGCTAGGATTGCAGGCACATGCCACCAGACCTGACTTCACAGCCAGTGCTACTAAGAGTTCAGGCTTCCCATGAGATTTGCAACAGATGGCCTCAGTGCTTCCCGTCCAGACTTGTGAGGCTGGCCCTGTATCCTCAGGCTCATCTATCCAGGGATTACAGGGCCTTGTGGTGGTTGAGAGAGGTGCCTACAGAAGGTTCTGCAGGAGGCTGCTTCTGCAGTCCCACTTGAGATCCTGTGGCCCTCTGGGAGCTCCTTCTGACAACTGCCAAGACTCAGTGAGCCCTTAGTGCACTCTATGTGTGTTCAGTGATGTTTTTTCATTGCTGGGGATTGAATCCAGGGCCTCACACATCTTAGACAAGCTATCACTCAGCTAAATCCCCAGCCTTTTAAAAATTAATTTATTAATTGAATTTTTTTTTTTTTTTTGAGATAAGATTTTGCTACATTTTCTGGGCTGGCCTTGAGCTTTTCAATCCTCCTTCCTCAGCCTCCCAAGTAGCTGGGGCTATGGATATGTGCTACCATGCCTGCCCAGGGCTCATTTAGACAAGAGGGCCACAGGGGTGAAATGAGTTCGACCCAAAGCCCTGAACTAGTGGAGTGGTGCTGTAGTAAGGGGGACTACCCCTAGGGCTCTAAGACTGTTTCATTTATACCTCTTATCTTGGCATCAAATTTTTATTAGTGCGCCTTTCACTTGCCAAGGCGTCTCGGTTCAGGTGATCAATAATGCAGTCATCGTATTTCTAGTAGGGGTGCCATAAATAGACAGTCAACAATATCATTAAAATCTATAGGATGTAAAATGGTTTTCAGTGCAAATGCAGGCCAAGGTTAGGGAGGAAATTCTGGCTAAGTCATGGGAAAATGTCTTGATGCAGACTTGGGAAACACAGTTCTAGAATTAGACAGAAAGAAGACTGAGCCCTTTAGAGCATTCTGAAGTTGTATTTGCTGCTACTTGTTAGTTGAGGTGTGTGACTGGTTTCTGGTAGGCCGTGTAAAGCTGCCCTGTTCATTAGCCCAGCGTGGGAAGGAAATGTGGCACTGATCCTTTATGGGCTGGTTACCACGTAGCTTTCTATCCAGCAGCTTTGGGGTGCATTTGGGGGGTGTGGGAGAAAGGAGTGGGGGCACAGGCATTTCCCAAACAGCCTCATCAGCTAGAAGGCAGTGGCAGCATACACCCTCCCTTGCCTCCCCTAGGGAATCTGCCGTGTTAATCCCAGGGGCGACTCAGCTGATGAGGTGTTTACCCCTCCCACGGCAGAGCAAGCACATGTTGTGTAAGGAGAAGGCAGGGGACCAGGAGCTTCTGCCAGGTTAGCAGCTGTGACTCCGAGGCACGCGGCCTGGATGCCACTGAACATCTCTCACTGCCCATTGTCCTTACAACTCTGCTTCTTAGCTGGGAAGGTGAATGTCTGC